GGAGCTGGATGAATAAGGAGGTATTTCTTACTGCATCTGCCATTGAAATAGAATAGATCTGGGCAACTGTTCAATAGCAAAGTATAATGTAATTAATCTGTTTTTCTTATGACTCCCCCCCCCAAAAAAAAAAAAAAAGTTAGGGCTTTACTCAGACCAAGAGTTCAGCAAAACCCATCTCCGATACTTGCTGTAGAAGAAGAGTAGGACGAACATAGCTGTTGTGTCACTTCAGTTTCCTCTTTATTAAAGTTAGACTTCTGAAGCAGGTTCCAAAGAGCAAACTCCACAGTGTGTAGGACAAGATCAGGACATTAATAAATAATGCATGTTCTCCATCACAGAGGTTTTAGTTTATCCTATCAACATGAGTGAATTAATAATTAAAAAGGGCACTGTAATCCTCGTGTGGGAGGTCCTATAAAATGAAAATTCAAGCAGTTTAAGATGCAGTAGATTGCTGTCTATTAAAAAATATGTTAAGGGATTTACTGTATTATTATTTTAATTATATTTTAAGCAGCAAGATTTTGATGTGCATTTAAGCATTATAGCGTGGCATTTGCAATCCAAACATTGCAGGATTAAGTCCCATCAAGTACAGTAAAACCAGGGGAAGTAACTGATTATAAACACAAATAAAACTAACACAGATGTCTTTTATGAAATGCTAAGACTAAGCAAAAAGCACTACTTATATTTCAGTTTCTCTCATCCAAGCTTATTTTAATAATTCAGTTAAATTTACATTTTTAACTGTATAACTTTCACCACAGCCCTTCCCTTTTAAAATTACATGAGATGTAAATAATTTCATTACTTTTACACATAGAAAATTATTGCTGTTCCTCAGAACAAGAGACACTAGAGCTTTCGGAATAGTGTACCAGTATCTGTCCCGAACATAGCTACGAGTATGCAAATCTAAGTGAGTAAACTGGTAAAGTCAACATGTTTCTCTGCAGCGGGTCAATGACGGAAATTCTGCCCGTGGACACATATCCTTTTGATTAAACAGTTCAATTTTATTTTTGGACATTTAAACTTACTCAGAGTAAAATTAGCTTAATAACTATGGTCTTTGTAAATTATGATGGACGAGGTGTTCAAGCTATTTGTTGGCTGAATGTGTGCTGCTCTTTCTGAACACACCATATACAAAGCTTTTAACTGACTCCGGTTTTAGTGTTAAGGAGTTTTTAGTAATAAAAAATGCTCAACAGAGTTACTATCACGAAAGAGCTTCTCTAGGAAGTGGTATAATTCCTGTTACATTAAACTTCTCAAATGAGGAGAAAATCCTAAGAGGAAACAGTTTTGTATTAATTGATCTAAATACATATTTTCAGCTTGATGCCATTCAAAACAATTTTACCACTGACCAAAAGTCAGAGTCACCATTAAACTACTTGTATTTTATAGAGAGGCTGTATGACTTGGGTGAGGTTCTAAAGGAATTGAGGGAGAAACTGACACACAAAATAAATCAGCTTCCTAGGATTTCAGACGGCTAGGATTTGGGAGGTCCTAGTTCCCCATCCTGAGATGGTGATCTTCTGACTCTGCATCTTCTCTTGACTCTTCCATGTGGAGAAGTCTGGTGTCGTCATCCTTTTCACATTAGTTTTCTGTTTGATGCCAACTATGCTGTCTGAACTTCCTCATCTTTTCAAGGCAAACATTGGTTTTGCTCTATGACAGATCGCTTTAAAAATTCAAGTGGACAGACATTTTTAATTAGAGTCAAAACAAAGTCAAATAAGGCTGAAATAAACTGCATTCTGGTCTAGCACAACATTAGCCCTTAAATAAATAGCGAGAAGCCTGGGCTGTCTCTGTACAGCAGATGGCATTACAGGTAATATTTATCATACTCCAATCCCAAGGCTAAGATAGTAGGGAGGGAGAATTGACGTCAGCTACAAGTGAATCAGTCTTAATACAAGCTGAAAAACTGCTTGTGCCTTCAACAGTTGATTACGTTGTCCAGCACTTCTGGTTAGCGCTCCCCGTTGCATTTATTAGTCTGCCTGAGCAAGCCTAGCAGGAAGAGTTCATTTTGTTTTGCAGCTTAAATGAACTGATGTAAATGGATCTTGGACTTTGAGGAGGGAAGATTCCACCCAGCTGCAGTAACCAGGGGGATGCCCTTTGCCCCAGTTTTTGTGCCAAATTTGTGCATTCGAGAATTTTAAACAAATATCACTTGGCAGGATATCGACCTTCAGGGTACAAGAATAATACTGAGTAAGACAGCAGGGCATGTACTGGGAGGGATTTACAGGGAGATCTATCGGTACTGATACTGAACAGCGGGGAAAACCAGTTCTGTCCTATTTCATTAAAAATGGTTGTTCTTTGTCTCACAGGAGCCGAGTGATCCTCTGAATGAAAACCAATAGCAATTTTTCAGCTGGGTACAGCGTTATCGTGCAGGAGTGAAAGAGTTCAGCAAAGGTTACTAATTATCACGTAAATGATGTAGTCTTCCTTGGCTGTCTGGGCAGAGCTGGGTGGGTGACCAGGGATGGAGGGAGTATGAACTGCTCACGGCATGCCATGGCTTGGGAGCCCTTACCGAAACACGGAGTCGTGCTCTGCCAAGTGTGTTTGACAGCCTTGCGCTCATACTGAGTTTCTCAATCTGCGAGCCATGGCTGATTGGCAAAGCGGTACGGAGAGCGTCCCGTCCAGCTCTGGGAAACACGTTGTGATGAGGCACGGAGAACTCGGGTTTAGTTGGGAGTGTGGTGGGGGATCACAGGTTGAGAAGCAATGTACGCCCAGCCCCTGTAGGACAGATCACCTTGCACTAACCAGAGCTGCCTCAGGGCACCCTGGCGCTGTAGGCAGTATTGAAATTTGCTGCGTTAAAGAAAAAGGGGTTCGGCCAGGCTGGACTTACCTTAGAAGGGACCTGGACAAGAAGGAGGCAGAATGACTCTGGGGGGGAAATTCTGAAAATATGTGCTTCCCCTTCCTGCTAGAGATATGGGAGCGGGTGAGGCAGCAACATTTGCTGCTGAGGAGAGCTACCTTGCCAGTACTGTTTGTCACCTCACACACCCTGACGGGCCTTGGCAGCAGCACACCCTTATCTCCAGCACGTTGGCAAACTCGGCTGTGTGGCAGCTTCCTAATTCACCAAGGCTGGGCCTGGGCTGCTCTTTTGTGTTCCCCACACTTTTCTTCTCCCCATTCTAATGGGCAGATTATTTTTTTAATAAGTTTGGATACAATTTCAGCTTTAGGTGGAAAATTTTCATGCGTTGCTTAAGCCCTTAGAGCCTTTTGCAGTTTAAAGGGGAGGAGTGTTGTCTCCATCAAGATAACGCAGGAAGTGAAATGCCTTCTGTTTCTTAATGCTATCGTAATGATGTGCTTTAACGATGTTCCCCGTGGGTTGGGTCCGTGGAGTATGCCACACAGCTTTTCCTTTCACTGGAATCAGCGTGGGGTTCAGGTTTCACACCTACCTCTGCTTTATTTACACCCATCTATTGTTTTGTTATTTACGTATGTCGGGTTATACAACGCAGCAGCAGCCTCTTTACGCGTGCGGAGGCGTTAAATGAATTTGCGCTGTTGTGCAGAGCTACCTGCTGGGAACTTCCAAAGGGACAAGCCATTTTGCACGCCCAGAAGCAGCACGGAAAACCGAGCTGCAAAAGATAAGGTATTGGGTCTTTTTGAACGTGGTGGGTCTTTAAAGTGTTGATGCCTTGAAGTTGTTGATGTCTTTGAAGTTGTCCAGGGGGACACCTGAGAGCCGGCTCGCTGCCTTTGTATCACGCTCACCTACAATTAAAGTAATTTTAGTGGTTTTTGTGTGGTGACTGCATACTATGGCCTCCTTGTGAGGGTTTTGTTTGGCATCTCGTTTCCCTTACCCAAAATGGATTAATGCTCCGCACTTTCATGGATTTCCACAGAAACCACACAAACATCACGTGCCGTAGTGAGCTGGCTCTATCCCTAACTGCACCCTGCCGGGGAAAACAGGAGTTGCCCTTCAAAAATAAATTTTTGTGTGGTATGAGTCACATAACCGTCCTTAATAGCCAGAAAGCACAAACGGCCACCGAGTCCCTTCAAGTTATTTGGAGCACGCAAGACATGCGGCCCGATAGGGGCGTGGAGGGCAAGCATCTGGGTTAGGCGCAGCCTCGCTCGCCCCGCTGTTGAAAACGTAATTAGAATAATGGCAGGTAGAAGCGCAGCAAGCCTGGGAACCCTCTCCC